GGAGGTGACCATATTAACTTCAAGGTTGGCTCCCATGTCTTTGGGCTTCTAGGGGGAGAATTTCTAATGACAAGAGGAAGCAAATGTTCAGAGGCCAGTGGAAGGTTAGGGCATATGACCTTCCTGGTTCTTCCTTGCTCTGTCAGCAAAGGCTGGCTTCTCTTTGGCTATGGAAAGACAGCTTGAAACTTATAGTAACTCTATTCCTCTTATAGATACTCTCTTACCTAGACACAGAACTCCCGAGATCTCTGTATCATCTCTAGCCCCAAGATGCCCCACACAATCTGGTTAATTAGTCTGCCTCAGTACTATTTAGGTCCTTGTGAAGCTAGCCCTGGTTGATTCTTATGAGCCACTTTGTTTAGTCTTGAAACGCTGATAGGTACTTTATAGCAGTTATCACATACTTGTGGGCTGGCAACTTTTATTGCATCTTGCAGCTATTAGAATGAATAAATGCTTTACCCAGAGTCACAAAGCTAGTCATCAGAAAGGCCTGTATTCAACAGGCCCAACAAGGATGGGATTCATGACTATAGTCTCATTAATCCTTGATGCTAACCACTGAGATGTAGCTCAGGGCCTGACATGGCCTATTAGGACAGCATGTGGTAGAGACATTTGGCCAGTCTGTACAGTCTACTTCATACAGAGAAGGAGGGGGCTGTGCTGGTGTTCTAGCTGTGCAGAGAATTAAAGTCTAGCTGTGTGACCTAGGGCAGTGTTCTTAACCTCAATCCCTGGTTTCCTGTCTTTAAAGGCTTGCAAAATACTTTGTAATGATAGAGCATGAGCGAAATGGAAGACCTGATTAGTGCTGGAACTGTACAGAGTCACTTGCATTTAAAGCAATGCCCTTTGTTGCCTATGTGACATGAAAATTTGAAAATCTACATGTAGTCAGACATTCCCCCTAGATAGTGAGTATAAAAAAAATCATTTTTTTTGCAAATCAAAACGACCCTGAGATTTCACCTTACACCCATCAGAATGGCCAAGATGAAAAACCCAAGTGACAACACATGCTGGAGAGGTTGTGGAGAAAGGGGAACCCTCCTCTACTGCTGGTGGGAATGTAAACTGGTACAACCACTTTGGAAGTCAATCTGGCGCTTTCTCAGACAATTAGGAATAGCACTTCCTCAAGACCCAGCTATACCACTGCTAGGCATATACCCAAAATTTGCTCAAGTACACAATAAGGACATTTGCTCAACCATGTTTGTAGCGGCTTTATTTGTAATAGCCAGAACCTGGAAACAACCCAGATGTCCATCAACGGAGGAATGGATGCAGAAATTGTGGTATTTTTACACAATGGAATACTACTCAGCAATCAAAAAAGAGGAAATCATGAAATTTGCAGGCAAACGGTGGGATCTAGAAAAGATCGTTCTGAGTGAAGTATCCCAGAAGGAGAAAGACAAATATGGAATATACTTGCTTATATAGACCTAAAAGATATGATAAACATAATGAAATCTATACACCTAAAGAAGATAATCAAGAAAGCGGACACGGGGTATGATGATCAATCCTCATTTAGAAAGACAAATGGGATATGCATTGAACGTATGACAGGAGTCTACTGCAGAAAGCATCTGAAAGACTCTACCTAGCAGTGTTCCAAAGTAGATACTAAGACTCATAACCAAACCCTCGATAGAGTGCAGGGAATCATATGGAAGAAGGGGAGTTTGATGTGGAAAGGATAGGAACTCCACAAGGACCAAACATACCTGGGCACAGGGTCTTTTCTGAGATGGACACTCAACCAAAGACCATGAGAGGATAAAACCTAGAACTTCTGCTCAGATGTGACCTGTGATAGCTCAGTAATCAATTGGTTTCCCATAGTAAGGGGAACAAGGACTATTTCTAACAGGAACTCAATGACTGGCTCTTTGACCTCCCCACCTCCCAAGGGAGGAGCAGTACTGTTAGGCCACAGAGGAGGACTTTGCAGCCAGTCCTGAAAATACCTGACAAAACGAAGTCATATGAATGGGGAGGAGGTCCTCCCCTATCAGTGGACTTGGAAAGGGGCAGGGAAGAGATAAGGGAGGGAGGGTGGGATTGGGGAGGGAATGAGGGATACAGCTGGGATACAGAATTAACAAAATGTAACTAATGAGAAAAATAAAATTAAAAAAAATCATTTCTTGTGTGAGGGTTTCCATCTAGATAATGAATGCCAGATAGACAACTTGGGTACATGAGGCTATGCATGAACTATATCCTTAGGACTGTCATACCACCTGACCACAGTCAAGGTGGGGAAGAAAAGAAATGAACCAGTCCAGCCTGGATCAACATTGCTAGCCTAGTGTCCACTAAATGCAGGCTATGGGATCCTGTCTCTGATAGATGAGGGGCCAGAAAAAGAGCACTGGCCTGGGGTAGTTCACATCCAGGTTGTGTCACTGACTAGCTATATAACATTGGACAAGCTTTTCAATTTCTCCAAGTCTCAGTTTCCCCATCTGCAAAGTGGGAGTAATAAGAAGCACCTTGAAGTGTTACCAAGAAGTCTCAGTAAGTTGACTGACTTAAAGCACACCTGATAGGGCCAGCAGTGACTCATTAGTAACCTATTACCATTGTCACTGCTTATTAGAAGAAACAGACTTTGCACCCTGGATTCAAACTACACCTCTTCCTCTCTTCCGTCCTTTGGCTGGGATTCTAGACACATTACCTCACCTTGAGAAACTGAGCTTATTCATCTGGCAGTGGGTACTAAGGGCACATATCCCGTGAGGTTGAATTACTACTTAAGGTGACATAAGAAGTTATCGCTAGTTCTTAGGTTACCATAACTCTTTCTTACACAGCTGGTTCTTTGTTACCTTCTAAGGCAGGACTGAGATGTTATCTCCTTCAAGAAGCTTTCTCTAGACTCCCTCTTGAGGCTTCAGTCTGATACCCTTGTTCTGGGAAGGTCTCTTTTCTCATCTGACCCTCTTACCAGACAGAATCCTTGTCTGAAACGATAGCATGTCTAGCACACAGTGGAAGATCAGCTTGGTAATAGAGGGGAAAGCGGTCAGTGTGTGCTTGGAGCAATTTGCTCTTGCTGGAGACAAGCTTCTTAGAATGGGGTTCCTCCAAAGGGTGACAGAGACAGAGACTATCCCTCTTCTCCTCTGCTGAAACTCTCCCTCCAGGTCTTGGTCACATAGTAGGTCATTTGTTAGGCAGGACACAGTAAGGAAGCAGAAAGAAGTCAGGGCATGTACACATAGGGAGTTCAACATGAGGAATTGGTTTTATAGGCTCTAGGGCAGCAGGATGGAGCAGAGGAACTATGGGTCAACCTTAAGATAATCAGTCCCTAGAGCCCTTAGAGGAATGATGGAAGAAATCCCAAGAGTCCGAGATCTGGGGCTGCCTGGAGGGAGCTGGAACTCAGACTGAGGGCAGCTGGAGATGCAAATGGAATGTGGTCAGGAAGGAAGAGAGCAGAGGAACCCTGGTTTCTCTATTCCTGTCACCCCTGGTTCTCCTATCAGTTCCTCTCACTGAGAAAACTTTCTTCCTTCCCTGAACACTATGTCCATGCTCACAAGTGCACAAAAAAAAAAAAAAGAGTAAAGAGGGTCACGAATAGCTGGAGTTCAACAGACAGATGACCCACGCTGGACTGAGTGTACATTAAGAAATGTGATTTTGCTGGGTGCTTCCATTCATATAACAAAGGCTACTGGCAACTCAGGCAAGTAAGGCTCTATGTGGGTGGTCTCCCTTAGGACAGTCACTTCTCTCCAGTCAGAATCAAGGAAGAGCAGAAAAAGAAAGGGACCAGTCTAGCCTGGATTAGCATCTGCTGGCTGAGTGTTTACTCTGTGTAAAGGGCAGAGTAGTGTCAGGTTCAAGGCTCAATAAATGTTTGTTAAACTAATGAACCATCTGGCGCAGGCTATGTTATTAGTAAATTCATAAAACATGTCACCGTATTTCACTGCTGGTCTATAAATACATTTGAGAGTCTGATGGAACAATGAGACTCTATGAGTCTCTGAGACCTGGAGAAAGCAGCTTGGACCAGTATTGCTGGGATGTCCACCTGGCAACTGTAGCCATAGTTCTTCTTTTGTAGGCTTTCACTTCTGTGCACACCCTTCCTGGCTCCTGTGTGAACCGAGTCCCTTTCTCAGTCGTGTCTGGAATGTGTGGACAGCCTCTTCCAGGCTCTCCTCTCTCTGATCTACCTTTTCCCCAGTACTAGATAAATTGTAAAACTCAGTGATGAATGAGATCCCCCATGTTGAAACACCTTCAAGCATTTCCTGGAAGAGTAGCTTTCTCTTGTTCAGACTCCTAAGGCATCAAGGATCTAGCACCAACCTCATTTTCCAGTGTTCCCATTGTATTCTTTCCACCACCCTCAGACACAGATGATCCATACTTCTTTCTTAGCTCCTTCCTCTTGGCAAGAGCAGTTCTTTAACCAAAGGCCCACCATCTCTCACTTTGATTTTGAATTTTACTTTGCACTTGAAGCTTTGGCTCACATCACATTCTGCATTCCTGAGATGGAAGAAATGATATATTCCCCACCTCTGAATCCCAACAGTATCTTATCTGAACCTGTAACAACCATCGTGTTCTAGTTTACCACAAGTATGCATAACTTACATATTTTGTGATGTTTTGAGTGCAGAACCCTATCATTTTTAGCTTTATAGGCCTCATAATATCTAGAACATTGCTGAGTATTTTATTGCATCTATGGTTGTCCCTTCAAATGGATGACTGAGTAGAGAGACACATGCAAATTAATATTTGGGTAGAATACATAAGGCCAGCAGTTACCTGGGCGTTCCAAAGAGTAGACAACTCTTGTCTGCCTGAAAGCTGATGTAGCTTTTGGAGGATAACCAACATATGTCATACAAATTAGGGAAGGGACACACTGCTTTGGACATGCTCAGGCTATCTTGAGCCTGGACAGTCAACTCTAGTTCATAGCTGCTTAGCTCCATCAAGATACTCACATCAATGTAGTTGGCATTGATGTAGTCAGAGTGGGGGTCTCCATCCAGCACCAACAGTCTCACCCTGGAGTGGTCATCTGTAGGGAGAGGAAAAGGCAGGAAATGTGGATGAGAAGGTATGAGGTAAGGAGTCATTACTATTCTCCTTTAGAGTTGCCGCTGAGTAGGTACTGCACACCAGGAACTGTGTCCCTTCCCATAGTTATCTGTTATTTATAGATGAGGAAGTACAGGTACAGAGAGGTGACAAATTTGAAAAGGATCCCTTGTTTACTTTCTTCCGATTATGTTTTCATCATTACCTGAGTAGGTATGTCACCTGCTTCCTAATTCTTAATGATTTCATCATCCATATGGGAACAGAAATACGTGCTTCATGGGACAGAATAAGAGAGACCAACATAAGCTTACCCAGCATGTAAGGTCATGGAGTCTGAATACTCCATTTCCATGCTTGCTTAAAAATAGCATCTTTACCTCTTTTTCCCATGGACACAAATGTAATCGAAGATTTGGTTTCTTTGTAAACTCAGTTATGTTATGATTTCGCTTTAATCTCAAATGTGGAATTTTAGTTGGGCTATAGTTTGTCCACACCTGTTAATTGTCTCAGGCAGGGTGTGGCTTTTGCCAGCTGGTAACTGCCTTCCAAGTGCAGTGTGGAGAGGGGTGTGGTCTAGGGCTCTGAGGATGTAAATTGAGAGCTGAGAAAGAGAAATGATGGGACAGCGTGCAGTGTTGTGTGGCATGTAGCAGTTTGGAGAGTCTCGAGAGACGGGGTGGCATTTTGGAGCAGACAGACAGAGAAACAGAGAAACGCTTCAGGGCACAGCAGCTGAGGAGACTGCTGGCTGTGCCTGCTGTTGACGGAGATTGGTACCGAGCTCTAAAAGAACCCCTCGACCCTAAACAGTTGGGAGAAGTAAAGGGGCCCCCCTCCCCTCTAACCTTCTCTTTCCTGTGTAGGATTGGGAGGTCGGAAGATCGGTTGAGGCCTAAGCACCCCAAAAAAAGAAGAGTGTTTAAGACAAGCACTACATTCAGACCGTGTTTGTCTCTCGGAGCACTGGTGTAGACAGGTTGTTGGCAATGCATTGTTATCAATACCACCATTAAAGTGAGGACTGAATCATTATAAAAGAGGTCATCAATAACTAAAAATCATGTTCCTGAGGATGCCCTTTCAAACACAATCTAGACATAAACAAGATGTATGGACTTTGGTCGATAGCATGCTTGCTTCAAATAACAGCAAATTAAAATCACTTTAAATGGTACATCAGAAAGAGCTAGATAATCCTTTGCAATTAATTAAGGTCAATTCTGACATGCTAATACACACCTCCTAGGGAACGTATTGATTGGGTCTAGCGGGAAGGACCCTCAGACTGCTACCTGGATTACTGTGAACCTGCTATTGCGTACTTCCCCCCTAACAATTCCTTCATATTTTAGGGCAGAAATGGGGTTCACAGTCAGCTGGATAGAGCCATATGGGCATCCCAAGGCCCCTGAGGGTCAATGAGAGTAAACCAGCCTTTCCTTTTAAGCTTTGACAGTACTCTCAGTTTATAAGCACATTTGCTGGTTCTAACTGAAGTTTTTTTGAGATAGGGGCATTAGTTACCTTGTTCCTATTTCAACCCTTGAAGCCTTAAAAGGGATTAGCATACAGCAGGCACTTAGTGAGTATTTGATGAGCACATAAATGAATGGCTTCATTGGGTGCTTTCAGTGAACTCATAAGAAAGGCAGTTAGTCCTTGTTACAAATGAGCAAACTGAGGCTCATGAAAATTGGTCATATGACCAGGGAATGGCAGATAAGTAGGAGTCTGTTAACTATAGGTTCACATGTTCCTACTTTCAAAGGGCTCCACGTAAGAAATTAGAAACCATGTGAGTATTCACAGTGAGGGGTAGCCGGAGAAGTTGCTGGCTGAGTGATGGAAGAAACTTCTCAGAAGTGAAATAATTTAGAAAAACAACAAGGGGTCACCACTTTTGCAGGACAGATGAATACAAGCATAGGGTGATGATATTCTTAGAACTCTAGATCTGGGACAACTTGCCATGATTGGAGCCACCACGGACTTCTCTGGCAGGAGCTGGACACAAGGAGGAGAATCCCTTGTGTAAAGAAGTCATCTTGCAGAGACCAGCTCTTGCAACACAACCTCAACTGAAAGGCCAGGTATGGGTCCAGCTGTTGGCAAACTGGCCCTGAGCTGGTATAAGACACCAACCACTCCTATCTATTAGCTCAGAACAGTCACAAGCATCAACAGGCAGCAGGTACCATGCTTGGATACCCCTTTTCTAATTCTCCAAGGAGGAAAAGTTTCAGTGGAAGCCACTAGAAGGAGGAGGAGGTAGGACACAACTCTAGGAGGGGATGGGATGGAGATGTGGGATAAGGGGTGAGAAGAATTTGAACTTAAACTTTACTGAATTCAGCCAGATACAGGGGTGCATGCCTGTAATCCCAGCACTCAGGGAGGCAGAGGCAGGCGGACCTCTGTGAATTTGAGGCCAGTTGGTCTACAAAGTTAGTCTAGGACTGCCAAGGCTACACAGAGGAATCTTGTCCCGAAAAACAAAAACAACAATAGAAAATAAATACCCCCCCCAAAAAAAAACCAAGACAAAACAAACCAAAAACCTCTACTGAATTCATTGGGTTCCCCATACCAGGTACATTATCTTAGTCACTTTTTTTTTTTTTCTCAAAAACAGCTCTTCTTCTTAACTATGGTCACAGAGATGTGCTATTATGATTCTGATTCCAGAGGTGAAGGAAGAAGGGCTAATAGAAGTTAAAGCATTACACAAATTTTAGAGCTACTTTCTAATGGCCATTCTGCTCTACCAACACCATGCATTTTTCCTGGGGAATTCCAAGCATCTCACATCTGCTGGAGGCTATGCAAGTGAGTGGTCCTGGCCCCAGTACCCATGAGAGGGAGGCTTCCTGGGAATGACCATTCATTAGGACTGAGACCTGTCTCTGAACCGTCCTATCAAGCCCCGTTACCAGAGGGTACAGAATCTGTAAGCCTCAGGAAAGTAAAATGTATATTATGTTTCATCCAGTGCTCTTATTAATGACTTAGTGATTCAAAAATCTCTTTTATTTATGAGACTGATAAATTGCCTGCTATGCTAAGGAGGCAGATCAAAATCTCCTTTACTTACTGAGTTATGCTTGCCTGGAAACCATTAGCAGTGGAAACAGAGAATCTGGTTTAAAATATTGAAAGGGGAATTTTTTTTAAACATAAAATAAAAAGCCATATATCTAAAAGCAAAAATCATTAAGAAACAAAGCAAAAGGAAGAAGCTATTTCTAGTCAAGTATCCTTTAAGATTTTACACATCTCTAACCATCAGGCTGTCTATCAACATTTACACTTATTTATTAAGAACATACTTATTGAGTACCTACTATATGACAGCCTGGTTGAAGGAACTAAGAAAGAGTTACAGCAGCTTCATCCTTAATGATTTGGGCCATTTATTCAAGGAGATGAATCCTGAACAGAAACAAAACATCAAGGTGTAGAAAGTGAGAAATAGAGAGCTTTGTGTACTGAAATGTGACTGAGGAATTAAAAGTGGGGAAGGTTTGATCCATGGGCATCAAGGAAGTCTTTGTCTTAGAGGAAACTTGCCATGTGGATGCAGGAATCCTGGAAGAGTCAACACATTGCAGTAGGTTCAGTGGGGTTGGAAGAGTCTTTTGTCCTAGGATCACTGATTGTGAGGGAATAGTAACGAGGGGGGACAAAAGAGAATGCCAGATTAGAGCAGAGTGTTCTCTATGACACATTAAAGCACCAAGACTCAACTATCTAGGGAACTGCAAATTTCAACAGTGAAATATTACATATACAACAGTGACAAAACCCCAAAATACCACCAGATACTTGCCAATGCTTGTAACAGAAATGCTTGCCTATTCATTGCTGGTGGAAACAAACAATGGGGCAGCCACTTGGAAGATAGTAGGACTATTTCATACAAAGTTAAAAATCTATTCACCATGTGTTCAGCAATTACATTCTTTGGTATTTACACAATGTATTGTAATCTTATGTCTACATTAAAAACTCTACATAAATGTTTACAGCAAATTTAGTCATGACTGTAAAAACTTGGAAACAAACAAACATATCCTTAGTAAGAGAATTGGATAAATAAAAAGTGATATAGGCATATATTGGAATACTATTCAGTGATAAAAAGAAATGAACTCATGTACTATAAAAGACATGGAAGAGACTTAAACCCATATTGCTAAGTGATGGAAGCCAATCTGGAAAGGTTACATTGAATGTTGAGTCTACATATGGTTCTAACTATATAATATTCCAAAAGAGAAAGAAACCATGGAGTCTATAAAAACCTCAGTTGTTGGCAGAGGCTTAGAAGAGGAGGAAGGAAGATTAAATAGGTTGAGCAAAGGGCATGTTTAGGGCAATAAAACTATTCTATAAAACACTGTGGATAGAATACATGCATTTTTCAGAACTGAACAACGTACAATGTGAGCCCTAATGTAAATTTGGGGCTTGAATTAATAAGAATGAACCAATATTTGTCCATCAAGTGCAACAACTATTTTGGATTCATCTGAAGTGTGGATGAAAGCGGAGACAGTATGTAAGTGGTACACAATTCTGTACTTGCCTCTCAGAATATCTATAAAGCTAAAATTGATCTTAAAAAATAAAGGATGTTTTCTGGCTTACAGCAAGGATGCAATAAATGGAGGTTTGCGCCTGCGTATGAGGTACACGGTGAGGTGACAGTAGAAAACTGATGTTCTCCATCTGTTCATCTGCCCAAAGACAAATCTGGTTATCTGCAGAGGGCAAGAGTAATTATGCGTTCCTTAAAGGACATAATTCAGATACAGGTCTACCAGAAAGGCAAAGCAAAGAGTGACAGTGTCCTCATGGTTTATTTATTTGTTCTGGGAAATGCTAATATTATTCTGTGCCCCTTTCTTCTTCTAACTTTATGTAATTAGAAAGATAAAAATTGTGTTTACCCACATGCACATGGAGAAAGATGGG